TGAGACGCGCGGCGTTCCTCACCGCGGTGTCATCTTCCTTCCCGAGATGAGTCAGGAGCACGTGGCCTTTCTTGACTCACTGCGGTATACTGGCTCTGGTCTTCGCTGTTTAATTACGTCTGCGATTTGGGATTGTGACCCCGCGCTCCTGGTATCTGGCCTTGACGTCACTGCTGTTCTGAAGTTGTGACCCCGCGCTCCTGGTACCTGGCCTTGACGTCACTGCTGTTCTGAAGTTGTGACCCCGCGCTCCTGGAACCTGGCCTTGACGCCACTGCTGTTCTGAAGTTGTGACCCCGCGCTCCTGGTACCTGGCCTTGACGCCACTGCTGTTCTGAAGTTGTGACCCCGCGCTCCTGGTACCTGGCCTTGACGCCACTGCTGTTCTGAAGTTGTGACCCCGCGCTCCTGGCACCTGGCCTTGACGTCACTGCTGTTCTGAAGTTGTGACCCCGCGCTCCTGGCACCTGGCCTTGACGCCACTGCTGTTCTGAAGTTGTGACCCCGCGCTCCTGGTACCAGGCCTTGACGTCGTTGCTGTCCTGAAGTACAAGAACAGTTTTCACTGTTCGTGTTGAATTGCCTCATTTATTTCGTTTAGTCCTAGATCGGAAGAACAACGCTTAATAGGAAACACGGACCTTTGTCCACTTTCGCAAGCTTCAAAAGTCGGAACGGTCAAGGTACCGAACGTCGCTGTTCCACTCAGCCCACACGTCCGGCGCCAGGTGGAGCTGCCGGTCGCCTCCGGGTGAGTGCCGCTGCGGCGACGGTGGCGCCGCTGCGGCCTCCGGTGGCGCCGCGTCGCCGGGCGCCGGCCAAAGTGGCGGCGATAACCGCCAGACGGCGGCGTCGCGCCCTAATGATGCCTGGCGCCGGCCGTCGACAGGCCGATAATGTCGGGGCGGCCCGGCCCGGTCCGGGCAGCCCAGGCGCAGCACCCTTCGCCGGCGGTGGGGACGCCTCCTCGGGTCGACACTGGCCACCGCCCGCTGGGCAGGCGTGCTGGGGTAGCGGTCTCCACCAGAGCATGTCGTCATCCCTTCGCAGAGACGACCTAGACTTCCTCCCAGCATTATCATCGGTTCTCGCAAAAGGATACCACCATCTCCCTGGAAGAGAAGCTGTAGAGTCGTGCCCGGGTAGCCGAGACGCACTTTCTCCCTGGAACCACTAAGTTCGCTGCGATGAGGACAGAGGCCCAATTGTATGACATGACATGGTTTGGCCAGCTACGATAATTATTATATATATATATATATATATATATATATATATATATATATATATATATATATATATATATATGTGAGTAGTGCGGGTCGTAGTGCGCATGCTAGGCAGGACCGGCAGTTCTAATGCTGACACTGTACGCACCACTGTGTTCTCCAAATTTGGAGTAGTTGTGCGCCCTTACTATGCATTAGTGCAGCGGGCTTTGCAACGCATCGATATTGCAACGGATACGGCCTACGGCAGTAAACCTCCGTGTTCCAGAAAAGAATGTACAGCCCTTGCTGAGAAATCAAGACGCTGCAGGTGCACTTTGAGCCCTCGTGGTGCCGTGCCACAGACACGCTCGTTCACCAGTCATTGTCAGAGTGATAGTGCCACCCTAACCACTGTAGTATCTACTGGTCAGTGTTACGGATAGCTGGAATCGAGATGTGTAGACGGAGATGGCTGCATCACGGAAAATGCGTGGAGCAGCATGGGTGAAGCACGGTCGGACGTTGGAAGTCTTGAGAGGGCTGCCGAAGCCTGTGTTCGTTAAAAGTTCGCTGTGTCCCTGAGCCAGGCCTTATGGGTGGTATGTGTGGTCTGAAAAGTCTCGAAATCATGGAAATACAGCACTGACATAGGGGGGAAGGCTTTCAACTCCTGGTCTTTCGAGAAGCCAGCGGCTACTCTCAAGGATGAGTATAACTCGAAAAATGGATCAATATAATCACTATTTAGCGTTACAATGTTCTCTAATCTGCACGTGGTGTATGGAGGGCCGTGAGCTCAGTATGATACCTTTGAACTAATAACACGACACTGGTTGTGAGGACACGGCGTCTAGATAAAGTGCCGTGTAGTCAACTGGCACGTTTACGACTTACAAGCCGTCGGGTTTCTGCTGCATCTGGCAATAAACCATTGGTGTCGAAATCCTAAATATTTAAATAAACTCCCCAGTTTCAGCAACGGCGCTTTGCATGCGTGACAATGTGGTACGACGTATCTCAAAACTGACTGTCTAGCTGCCTGCACCTTCTGTGGTAATCTACATCCAGTCCACACAAAGCTTGGTGTAATACGCGCGCCATTCAGGCGGGCAGCTGAGCAGATGTCGCGCCGGGAACTGGTTCCACGTAAATCACGACGCTATTAAGGCGAGTCTGCAGATAAGCACAGGACGGTCGGGAGAAATTGAGTAGATAAATCGTGCTTCATAGAGCTAAAGACAGGAAATCCTGCCAGCTTAAACGGCGGAGCATTACATTAGCTTGGTTTTCAAGGATACTAGAAATGTGCTCGTGTTAGGCCTTGGCGATCTGACGTCTGCGTCAATCTAACCAACCGCTTCATGAGATTTCTTGAGTGGAAGTGTGCTAGTTCTAAGAGACGGCTGGGCCTACCGTCCCGCACCTTGCGTGGAATTGTGAGCGGCAGTCACACGTTCACTCGCTATCCGGCTCCCGACAGCTAGAGCTCTTCAAGGATTGGGTCTTCAAGATTCAGTGCAATCAAATCTACGGATTATCCCCTTTAGATTTCCCAAATCTTAACGGACAGGAATGGAAAGATCCATTCATTTGATCCATCCAAAGATCCATTCTATTCGGCCCCTAATTGGGGAGTTTTAGGGCGCGTCCACTGCAAATGGTCATGCACCTGGCCCCCTCACCGAGATAGCGGCATGGTTAACCAGAAATGCAACAAATAAACAAACAAACAAAAATCGACATGCCATTTGCCAAAAGAATGCAATGACATGCCGTTTGATCGCATTACGCTTGTCACGTTTAAGGTGAGACCAATTTCATAGACAGCTGGGAACGGTTTTAATCTTTCAGGTGAAAATTAAATTTAAGGAGCCAAGTAGATAACTAGGTCCAGAGTCGTGGCCTGATCATACGCAGCACTAAAAATGGCAACAGAGCGCTTGCAAATCAAAAAGGTCGTCTCAGGTCACTGACTTAGCTTAACATAAAAAGCATCAATGACTTTAGAAAAAGGTCAACAAAGCTTGAAATAATCGCCATAGGGTTTTTCTCTCCCTTGCAGTATGTTGTGGCAGCGGGTTTGATTTTTACCTGTCGTGGTGCAAACCATAACTAATGGACGGACCAGTGAATCCAGGAATTATAATGGCTCGTGGCGTGAGGGAGCAGAGGATACCAAGAGGCGCACATGTAACTGCTTGCCCAGCCCACACCGCGGGAGGGGAGCCTGCCTGGCGCAGAGGGGTGGCCTTGTCGCCCGGAGGAGACCTGAGGGTCGCTCGTGCATGTCAAGCACCTGGGGAGTTCTTTATTTAGGAGCGGACCCAAGGACTTCATAAAGGTTTTCCCCGGTCCGGCTGGTACCTCCTGAGCGTTTATGCTTGCAGGTACCATATATCGCGCATATGCACGTAATGTGAGAGCATCTAGTAAAAATGCGGTAAGCTGCAATTTTTGATTAATCTTCATGTGTTTGTTATGATGTATGCCATCAACCAAAACCAACCTTGGCAATGCAGATTAAGGAGAAAATAACCTATGGCGCGTTTCGACCTTCACAATGTTCAACCAGCCCATACCTGTAACCTATTTTATCTGCAAATCGGCATTCGATATATTTGCTTTTGAGTTATCAAAATTTCGCCAATCTGACACGTCGGCAAAAAGCCTATTTAACCAAACATATTCACCGTTCGGCTTTCAGCATTTGGGCCCTTTCTTTACTTGGCGTTTAAACGAGCAATATTATTGAAATACGTAAATCTTATAAATTTATATACATACGTGTATCTGCATATATACTGCATGTATGTGTGTATATACTACACACACACACACACACAGCACACACAACCACACACACACAACACAACACACACACACACCACACACCACCACACCACACACAACCACACACACACACACACCCACACACACACACACACACACACACACACACCACACACACACACCCAC